CTAAAACCCTAAACATAAACTCTTCACTACAGGTGATCGCCGTACGCGTGGCGGGAATTTCAAGGTTTTTATCCCTAGACCCAATTCTAGGTATAGAAGCCATTTCTTCTGTCACCGTGCTGGTATGGAATTCAATAGGATAATTAAGCGGGGACAAACGCCCAAATCACTCGCACACTTCAGAAGACTATTGGCCCAACACTTGGCGTAATTTCCTACTTCTGGTTCCTATGCCTCCTTTGTTTTGTTGTTTTTTCATTTTTGCTCTTCTAGCTTACTCCTTGTTTTTTTTCGTGCATATTTTTTCTTTTTTTTCGCCTTATATCACTTAGTTAGTTCTTCGGAAGGTTTCCATTTATATTCATTTTTGGTTTGTATACTGTTGTAAGTCCACACAAGCCAATCGTGTAATAAATCAAATCAATCAAGTCAAACCGCTCAGCAAACACGTTTCATGGCCCGTTCGTGCGTCCCTACAATAAGAAAGAGACCGACAAAAAATACGGCTTGCCCTGAAAGGCACCCCCCCCTTTTTTTGTTGTGCAGGGGAGGCGATACTATAGGGAGCTAAGCCGTTTTCTCTAATTTTTCCTGGAACTCCTGTCCCCTCCTAGCTTTAGTCCTAAAAAATGCCCAGTATTGCAATAGCGCCATGTGATTGAATGCTGATTTCAAAGCTGCCTCTCAAATCTGTTGAACCATTCTGTGGATAGAGTTATGAAGTCATATGACTCCCACCATATTTGAGCTTTTTTAATAGTACATCAAAAGTAGAAATTGCCGAGGAGGACGGGTAAATGGTATGCCCGGCCGAAAAGAAAGCTTCTGCGGTTACGATGCCTTGACGGGTGAATTCTACACAAATCACACATTATACATCAGCGAGAAGTGCAAAATTTCCAAGAATTAGGGATGAGCTAGGGTTGTCACGCAGAACCCGCCTAACATGATAAGATGATTTAGAAGTTCACTGGTAGCATTCGAGAACTACTAAAGCGCGGTGGTGGGACTTTGGGCGTGAGTGTAGTTGGGGGGGGGGGGCGGGTAGAGGGGGACTTTTACCCCGACGCAGGGAGGAAGATCTGAGGTGGGTGACCCACTTTGTTTACTCGAGAAGGATACTAAGCGAGTATGAACATAGAAATATTTGTTGTGGTTCTGAATGCTCTAACCATAAGTGCTCTCGCTGAGATGCCCATACCAACCCCCTCCTTTCGCCTGTCGTGTTTTTGTTTTCTCCATTAATTTCTTTGGCTGGAGCACTCGAAATTCTTGTATCAGTCAGAATGAATTGAAGCTATGAGACTGAAAGATACCTGAGTGGTAGCTTCGGCTCGGTTTGTCTCCAGTAAAGACTTTCGGCTTGCCTCGAGTGAACGCGGTGGAAGTGCCCACTTTGCCGAAGCTTCAGATGAAGCCGATCTGGAACAAAAGTTTTCAAGTTTTGAAATTTTGAAATTACTCAGACGCCACTTCTTTTAGTGATAGGATGAAGCAGTAGGAGATGTTATAAAAAAGCTTAAGAGGTATAAAATAAGGACGGGACACGGTTGATGAGAGTAGGGATGAATCAATCGACTACCACCCTGTCCTGCCTCAACCCTACCCGTCGATCGGCCACTGTGGTGGTCGATCGACGCCTTTGACCTCGCAGTACTGCCAAATATCTCTCAATAATTATTTGCTGAACGATCGAAGATTCTGAACAAGTCAATCTTAACAACCTTAACTGTTGAGGTAATGCTTGAGGATGGTTCATCCTGTGGCTTACTGGTACGAAGAAGAACTGCGGTAGCGCGATCGAGTGGGTCATACAGTATCGGTTCGATAAAAGGCGCACCACCTGGCCGACGTTACCCGTCTACACATCGATTTTTCTGTCCCGGAGCATCCTAATACCTGGATAAGATGGGTGGGGTTCAAACTCAGACTCAATACTTCAATAGGGACTCACAAGCTCTTCATTAGCCGCCCGAAATGTAAGAGCAATCGGTCTACAACGAGTGAGATCCAAGTTGCCGTCGTTGGCAATATCATAGAAGATGCGCCTCGCATTTGCCTTTGAATCTAATAAAATGGTTCAAGGGTCTACTCCAGTGCAGGGCGGAGACAATTTTGTGAAAAGCATTTAAGGCGTTGGAAACCATGACGGATATCTTCCGTCACTTTGGAAGTTTAGAAACTTTTCTGACATTTCCTAAGACAGATCCCGCCATGCAACTAAGTGGAATAGGCGCTTACGTATGTAGTCGAGGGGAGTGTATTTTCCAGCAATAACCCATAGAGATTACGCTGAGTCAAATTTAGTAACCCCAATTTTGTGGAGTGGGTGAAGCTCTGGGGTTGGGGCAACAATTCCCTTGCTCGGATGAAGACTATGTTAGTGTTGGTCCTTCCGAACCTTTCAAAATAAATCGAAACTTAGATGATTTCAAATGCCTTGTATTCTCTGCGCTAAAATCTTGCTTCCCCTGAACACATGTGTCTTTTCCTACTCAAGGCATGCAGAAAAGTACCACACCATTACCACGTTCAAGCTTAAAGTCACTTTCCGTCACTTTCGATTGAATATGTATAGATTATTGCACCAGAAAATGAAAGCAATTGTTGAGGGCGATGGGAATTCATTCCGATTTCGTGCTACTTTTTTGGGCATCTTCCCGGAGCGTCACCGTCCACAGTAATGCAGCTTATAATGCAGTACCAGTGTAGTAAGGAGATTAAATGAAGGTACATCCAGAAGGTAATCATAAGCAGCATTCACCCTCGACAACGGTCACAAGCCATATCTCGCAGGCGAATCATGCGAACTTAGCTCCGAATATACAGTAGCGGTCAAAAGTGTTCGCCGAAACGGTTTTTCGTGCTTCTCTTCTTTGTCCGCAAAATCAATGGTGACCTCAAAAAATTTTTCTTTTGAATATAATGATTCTTCAAGACTTGAGGATATAAAAACACTAGAAAACATAGTACATTGGTGTGCCAAACTTAGGGACGGGACAGATGAAGTATCATAATATTTTGATCGCTTTGTGCACCATTTAACTGTTCCTGTTGACTGCTTTCTTTGATGCTCTGTGTCACCTCTTTGTATGTGGGGTTAGGTTCCAAGGAGTCACCTTACGCGCCAGTAACTCGTCGCTGGAAAAGCTACGTTCGTTTTTAAGTTTTGCACACAAGTGTATATCAATATTAGGAGGATGTTGCTCGAGCGAGGAAAAATAATGCACTGAAAATCATTTCGGCGAACGCTTTTGACCGCTACTGTAAGTTGCTAAAAAGAAACTGAAATAAAAAGTACTCGTCTACCTCATTGATACCACCACTATTTCCTATTGATGAATATCTCAATGTTTCATGTTATCCTAAGCAAATTGAGATGAACCTTGCTTACGTCTTGAGTTCAGATGCGTAAATGCCATCGCACGTCGGCATGTTAGCCAGAGCTAAATTTTGAGGTCACCAATTGAAACTTAGGCTACCGATTTGATGATGGAAATGGGGTAAGGAAGCCGTTTGACAAGAAAAACCAACCGTAGGTAACAATAAAGCAAGCGTTTTCACAGAGTCTTGAATTTGCAGCATTTGAAGCAGTTGCTTAAAGGAAGCGATTACGATGAAGAGGAGCAGCATCGAGAAAGCATATGCACTACACGAAGCAGTTACTTGGCTGCCAAGGAGGCGAAGTGTAGCGCCTTCACCACGAAGTTTGCGTTGGTTGCTGAGCAGGACTTCAAGCGCTCTGCCCCCAAAAGCGATCCGCCCACGTGTTCACCTGTTGATTTGGACGAGCTGCGCGGCTAGCAACGGAGCATCTCGTTTTAAAGGACAAATTCACGCTGGGAAGGCAACCCATTTCGAATTAACTCAGGGATGGTGGTTGGTACACGAAAGAAGGAAGAGACATGAGAAACGGCCCAGAACCCGAGAAATGAGACTCCTTCCTTCCCCGCTGATTTGCGCATTGATGCGACTCTAATCGCTGTGCCCTCCTCAATATCACGCTCTCTCTGCTATGTTGTCAATCCCACGTATAGATCTGCGGCGAGTGATCAGCTGGTCGGTGGGCGGAGATCGCCAGACCCGCCAACTTTGAGGCATAATAAGTCGCCGAGGTCAAATTTTTCGATGCGAATTGCGCATCAGTTCGCACCCTCAGGAGTCCATGGGTTACTCAACTAGGTAAATTACTTTTTCCTCGACCTCCATTCTAATCGTGAAATCCTCCTTTAAGTGTGATTTGGCAATGGTGCCATCATACATGTTGCGGTGAACTCGCTCATAACTCCACTTTCTGAGTTGTTACCTGTGGATGTGTGAAAAGCGACGGCCAAAGAAGGGGGCCCGTTTTGCGGTTCTTGACAAACTTTTCTTGTTTTCTCGCTACTGGCGTACCACCACCACGTCACAATAAGCCGTTCTCGAATTTTCCGTAATAGCTGCCTTGAAGGATAACTTCAGCCCTTAATCACGAGCATAACTCAAACTGCGCCAAAATTTCCTAATGGTGCACTTACCGAGACCTCAAAAATCACTTCTGCAAATCAATTCTCGAATGCTTTTAAACAGCAGCTAGATAGGCCCAAGCGCATTCAATGCTCTCATTGTTCGAGATGTTCCTAGTGTTCTTCATAGCATAGTTGTTCCTACTTGTGGCTAGGCATTGGCCAGCAAAAGGCAATTTGCGAATGCATACAACACGTTTGAAACCTGTGTTGTTCTCCTCTTACCTGGCGCTATAAAACGCTTCTCATACTTCCAACTCTGTCGATTCAGTCTCTGCTTCGAAACTTAACAAAAACAGTTTATAACAACAACAAGAAAAACAACACCTAGTCCAGCATAAAGCCAGTTCAAAAACAGCCATTCAAACGAAATAAAGGCAAACAAGCAAGTGTGGAGATAGTTTTAGTTTTGGCTGAACCAAAAACTAAGTAATACAGTCACAAATGAATTCATATTACATATAATATAACTTCTTTCAATTGAAGATATACTATACTATCCCAGTCATTTTTTGCCAAAGCATAAAACACTGACATCTTGTTGTTGATAAGCTTAGACGGGTCATCAAACTCGCAGATACGACCTCCATCCAACACGATTATTCTGAAATTATGGATATGAAGCTATAAGTATTTTGATATGTTACTAGTCTTACTTAAAGCAACAATCCAGGAACGAATTTGCGGGCAAGGACCGCCTATAATGAAGTTGTAGGTGAGAAGTTGGGCAATGGAGAAACAAAAAGAAGAAAAAAAAAGGTCGGAGAAGGGCTTAGACAGGGACTCCTCCTCTGCCGTTAAGCGATGGGGGGAGACGTGTGATGGACGAGTTGTCCGAACCTGCCCGCAGTTGCATTTCCTAATCGTTTTTGAAGAAAGGTACGACGCAAAGAACTGTGAGCGAGTCTGCAGGTGGTCGCCGTTCTGGTGATAGTATCGATACGTCTTGGCTGTGAAGAATGCAGAATGAAACCAAAACTATTCAAGGATGGGGCTTGATTGCTCAAAACCGGTTCCGCAACGTCTTCGCACCTGGCCAAGCCATCATCACGGCTGGGAGGCAGCGGCCATGCCCGCTCCCGCCCATCCCAGTCCCGCCTCCGCCTATCTGCTGTAGTTCGTCGCCCTTCCAACAGGCTTCCAAAGGTGAGTTCATGTTCAGTTCCCTTTCAGATATGTTTAACTAGGACCAGTGCTTCTCCCCACCCCATTAGCGACTAATGCTCGGAACCCTGCCTGGACTGTTGCTTTAAAAGAATCCTTCACGGAAAAATCATGATTCTATTTCTACCATAAATCACTGGCTTGAATCTCATTATTCACGATAAGAACGAAAAGAACAGAAATACTGCTTTTGTTTTGGTAAAAAAATTCGAAAAATCGAAAGGGCTGCTACGCGTTCAAAGGGCCCAGGGACGTCTTCCACAAATGCTGGTGAAAGGGATGCTTCAACTTGGTGAGTGCCTTCACTAAAAACTTTTCCAAGCCTCTGGGCTTACCACATTCACATCTTACACTTCTACTCCATCCTATTCTATCGATCGATTTGTCCCTACTCTCCGAAATCGCGCGCTTTATGCCGATTCTTTCATTGCGTCGTCTGATATGTAGCCGGCCAAAGGCGAACTTCTTTCCATGCCTCGCCTTTAGCCCCGCCCGAATTACCTTCGATTGTCCATAGAGTGAACTATTGTACGTTTGCTTCTCTTCGGAAACCGAATTTTTATGCGTGAAACTTTGTATGTTGTTTCCAGCGATCACAGCTGACACATTCATGTCGCTAAAGGATGTAAGAATCAGAAGGCTTCCTTTAACATTTTAAGCTGTGCACAGAAGAAATTACAGCAATATATATCGAATAGTATCTACTTACGAAGCTAGAAGATCGGATGATCATTTTGGAATACGGCAAAAATGTAGAACATTTTGTAGTGTGACACTGTTTATATCGGTATATCCGCGTTTCACCCACCCTCACAATCAAAAAGCGTTCAGGCTTTGGTAACAAGAGCATGCCGTATACGCTCCCGAAATTAAGCCGACAGAATTTTGATGTAGCTTATCCTTAAATGATCACTTTGCAACATTTCAATTCTGTTTACAGAGGTGTTCTGCTCAGTTTGATCCTGCGAGTATTTAGACGCTTGACATTGATATTTCCACCATCTGATGCAGAGCCTTGAGTCGCATAAGTATGGTGTTCTTCTTAACGCGCTAATCGTTATCTTCGAGTCCGTTCCGGACCGTCCCGAGAGCAGCCCTTTGAGATTCCTGATCCCTAAGCAGCTTCTGCAGGCGTAAATTTAAATTCCAGCACTCCAGGAAGGAAACAATCTTTTGAAGTCGAGTTATTGTAGCAACAACATTTGTAACCACATCGCAGAGTGAACGACTGTGTATGATGCGGAATCGGTCACAAAATGCATTGGAATTGGCTCGAGCGACGACAGACGGCTCCGCACATCGCCCGTTAAGAATGTTCCCAGCTATCAAGCAAAGTAGAAGGAGTTTTCCGCAACTTCAGGAATGTCCCCACACTGTAGTAGGTAACAGTGCAGGTGTTGTGATGCTGCTCAAACAGCGAACGCCCATCAGTCTGTGCGTTACATGGAAAAATATCTCGACAAAACATTCAAAACAAAAAAGAGTATCTATGACTTGATACCAGCTTCAATACCAGCTTCACAATGACTACATTGACAATGACTTTTGTCGTTTGCCCCTTCTGGTGAAAATCGTACGAACCTGTCATAGTCCATTATAGTGTTGAGTCTGTGAGCAATTGTCAGAACAGTGCTGTCTGAAAACTCTCGCCGAATTGTGCGCTGAATAAGAGCATCCGTGCTCATGTCGACAGCAGCGGTTGCCTCGTCCAGTACAAGAACACGTGTTTTTCGGAGTAGTGCACGGGCTAGGCACACTAGCTGCCGCTGACCCACGCTTCAATGAAAAATTTAGCTGAGACAACTGTGAAAAATTGATTGCTCAATCACCGGTTATTCACCTGATATTTTCTCCTCCCTCTGTAATGACGCAGTTCAACTGACCCTGCTGTTCCAAAGCAAAAGCCTTCAGATTTGCCATTTCAAGGGCACTCCATATTTCGGTGTCGGTGTAGTTACCAAATGGATCCAGGTTAAAACTGAAAGCAAATTGAAGATGAACCAATACTTCCAGAAATCCAAGAGTTATCTACCGAAGTGTTCCTGAGAAGAGAACAGGATCTTGTGGTATGATTGTCAAATGGCTCCTTAGATCATGTAATCCTAGTTTAGTGATGTCTATACCATCGATGACAATTCTACCTTCATAAGGCTCTATCACCCGAAACAGCGCAAGCGCTACGGATGATTTCCCTGCAAAACTAGTCGATGATTGTTTGACTGCGCAAAAAATCATCTTTGTCTTACCTGCTCCTGTTCTTCCCACTATGCCTACTTTCTCATGCGGTCCAATCCTGGCATTCAAAGACTTCACAACAAGGTCTAGTCCAGGTCGATACCTTAATTTAGACATATCAGAAAAGTAGTGAAGGATTCGCTTGAAAAAGGTGTAGCGAATGCCCAAATAGCAAAAATTAGGACCATGTATACCACACATAGCGGCGTGAGAGCCACACGTATAGAATCATCGATCAATGAGAACTTGCCTTGTTACATTTTGTTTATGACCTGCAGATACATGCAGTAACGAACAAAGGCATTCCAAGTATTGATATGCCCTCCCCCCTATTCGACGACTCTACGACTCCTATTTTTTACATGTTCGACTTGCCTCAATAGACTGCTTTTCCATTTCTATTACGCAGAAACCGTCAACCACAGCACTCAGCAGCTCATACTTGTTCAATTAGATGCCAACAACAGGTACGACCATGTGACATGATGTCGCGCCACAGTTTAACAGTCAGATTAGTTTTGCTTAAAGGCAAACTCCGGGGTCAGACCCATTTAATGAGCCTTTACTGTAGCTAGAAGCGCTGGGTACGCAAGTGCAGAGGTACAAGCTTCACTTCCCTACTTCAAAAAGCGCTACTTAGACGCTAGGCGCTAAAGCTTTGCCACGCTCCACCCGTTGAGACACGATCCGCCCACCGCTCGATATCTTGTCTGCGTCGCTATTTTGATCTGCTATGCTCTCTCTACTCACACTTCTCTAGCGCTCTCTGCTCCCACATTATCTCTCATCTCCCTGCCGGCCTTTTCAACTTCTCCGCAGCGTAGAGTATTTTCTGCGTATTTCACAGTTTTTTTTTCCTTTGTTCTCCACTGGTGGCCCACCTCCTACCTCTACTTTCACATTTGAGTGAAACTCAACTAGTAGCTCATCAACTTAATCCTGAATCTTGCCCTTAACTCATTTGGCATTTTTTCGTGTCCCAAAACGCTCGATGAACATTATTAGGTCCAAAGAACAATTTGCTATTTACTGATAATCGAACGATCGCAGGACCAAAGACCATTGATGAGAAGGTATGAGATATGATATGTCCTGACAAGCTGATACCGTTTAATGTGAGTGTAAAGATGCCACGTGGTGCGTTTGTGAAAAATAAAACGAGCAAACGGTCAGGAACCTTTGGAAGCAACAACTAGCCTTCTGTAGTCTGTGCTAGACTATTAGCAGTTATTTCACAGAATGTTGTTATAATAATATGTACTCTAACTGCGCAAAGGAATCATCCATATGCGAAACGAAAATTAACCAACTATTAACTTTAAATGAGAATTCAAGTTAAGACGACTTGACGTGAAAGGCACCCCCAAAAGAAAAATCACGCAACACCCCCGGTATAAGAGATGAATGAACTCCGTTGGACACTTTTTTGCACCCTTAACTTTGCTGATGGGGTGTTTTGCCGCACATGCGCCACATATCGCCTACTGGGACCCTGCTCTACCCGCTCCACTACCCTCTTTCACTTTCGTGGACTCCATGGGTCACCACAAAACCTCGCAAAGTATCTCATCCCTTCCTTGAGCCGCCGCTTTCGCCTTAACAACGTATTTGCAGAACACTGCTGGTACCCGTGTTCAACGAAACAATGGACACTCCCAAAACTCAGATGTTCGGAACTCAGATATTAGTCTGCAATCTTGATCGCGTTTTGATGGGAAATCTCTGGAGCATCTTTGTCATGGAGTCTCGCGCAAACCTTACTCTTCTTCTTCCCGCGTTAGTTCCGCGCAGTCGCAAAGTCCACATTTTTTGTTAGACCTCACATGTGGCCCTGTGCAATGTATCACCGTGACCGTGACGACTTAAGTGAGGTCCTTTTCATGACGCCCCCTCCCACCTCTTTTTTGGGACTCCAACCGCGGTCGCTCGGCTTGCACATTGAAGTCAAGTGATGTTCTAATTGGATGATCCTGGTTTCTTAACACGTACCCATACCATCGCAGACATTGTTACCGCACCTTCACCTGGACAGGGGCAGCCGGAAATTTACGTTTCTGACCCTGACCATCCGCGTGCAGCACATGCTTATCTCAGCATTCTCCTTCCTTTTGTAATTCTTGTTCAGGGGCCAGCACTCGCTGCCGTAGAGCATCCAGGCTTTACCACTGCCCGACACACTCACCCTTGAACCCATAACGGACAGCGTGCGCTACCTGGAGGCGCACAATAAATTCTTTTGCATTTGTAATGTTTCTAATAATCTGAATATAGCCGTATATACTGTAAGCAATGAGAAAACTGTATCCCCACGACCTGGACGACTGGATTTTTGACGAAATTACAATAAATTCCATATACTCTTTGTCTTTATTTTCCAACTTCTTCTATTTGATAAATGGCTTACCAATGGTCCACAGGTACCGAGACAGTTTAACCTAAGTATAGCCATTTCCCTTGCTCAGTGTTGTTGTTTTGCACTGCTCGAAGATGTCACCTGCCGCTTCCGTTCGTCCCTTGCACCCTACTTTTAGAGCGGGAAGGCAGGTTACAAAATTGTCTCAACGGAGGGCACCTACTTCATCCTTGTTTTAGCCCCGCTGTTCGCATAAGCCTACACAAAGCCTACCCTGAGTGACGGCGTGCGCCCTATGGTGGCACACGCGAAAAAAGCCTGTCGTCCGTTACGTATTAAAGGCACGCTCCGGGAATAGGCACGCTAAACTGTTTCATACTCGAGAGTAGTAGAAGGGCGGATGAGCGTTGCTGACGGATGAGCCTTTCTTACCTTGAAAGTGAGCAACAAAGACGCTAGGAGCTCACTCAATCTGCAATCTACCCTTCGTCTGCGAGCCCCGTCTTTCTTCCTTCTTTTTCGTCTTCGTCGCACCTGTGCTGGCGCTGGCGTTGCCACGACAGCGCCAGCACATCTGCGACGGTCGCCTTGCTCATTGGCACTGGAGCAACTGGAGCTAGGTTCGTGAAATTATTCGTCCAGCACGCCCCTTTTCTATCTCGACCAGTCGAACGCCCTCTCCACGTCGAGGCAGGCTAGGTAACAGGGTCAGCGTTTTTCTCAGTAATTCTCCACCACTTCCCTTGCAGTGTTAAAGAAGACTCCCATTGTAGGACTTTCGGGCATGAACCCGAACTGTTCCTGGGAGATCGGAACTGGCTCCAGTAGCTTCGAGGCTCCAGAGCCAGACACTCACACAACTTCATAGTTTATAGTCATACAATTTTCATTCAGTCAAGCTGATTCCGGTGTATTTAGAGCAGTCCATCGCATTACCCTTCCCTTGAAGATGAACTCTAAGGAATGACCTTCACAGGGAGAAAATTCCGCTCTTCAGATGTTCGACTGCCTCATTACAGGTCAAGACCGATACCACCAGTGTTTGCACAAACTGCTCGCAGCTGCATGACTTGCTTCGGATATCGCGAAGTTTCAGCTTCCAGTAGACGAAATTGTTTAAGTGCGCGGCAGTTTGCGACCCACATGTAACGAGCAAATGCCAGAATATTTATTGGTTTTGAGGGTATTTTCCGGAATCACATCACTCACGTGGAGCACACCATATTCATGAAAGGTGATTGCTCCGTCACGCCTTTAAAACTGCTGGCCCTTTCTGTCAATTTCGCAAGGTTCTGAATAACCTCCCAGTCGAGCTGTTAGCGTGGATTTCCCCGCCAACTGTGTACGACACCCCCTCGGAAGGTTATATCGTTATCATCTAAAAGGTGCTGCACATCTGCCATCCCATATGATGCGAACAAGAGGCTCCAACGAGATCACCACTCGTTTCACGACGCACCACGCCTAGCACGAACGCACCTCTCACGATACAGCCTGCTCAACTACTACTGCGCTGTCTCGTCCACTGAATTTACGGTTGCATCTGAACCAATCTAAGGTTTTTAGCTAATGCGTCGTTTTTTTTTTCAGTGCAGGCACGCTCACGCCGTCGACGAAAGGAAGAAACACACTGATAGCACGTCGTTTACTTGAACAAGATTGATTGTTCTGTTTTAAAATCTCCGTTGTGGGCTTGACCATTCAATTCTTTGCGCGCAATTTAAAACCCTATTTTTAGAAAGCATCAAAACAATAATTTAAAGCAATCACCTTGTTGAATAATTTTCTATAGAAATTCTGCCGTCGTTTGGCCATTCTTTCGGTGGTCTACCACTTTGAGTTTCCCAGCTGGCCTGTAGTAAAAATGATGAGAGAAGACACAAATTTATGATTTCGGCTTGCTTTTATATACATAGTTCTCTTCCTACATATTTTATCAATATTCGGAGAGATCAGTGATCTGCAAGGGCAAAAATTTCTTATAGAATACACTGCGACGCATAATCTTAGTTGCACCTACAAATTTCCCAAAAACTGAAATTTCGAGATGTTTTTGAAATGGGCTCTACAGATATGTTGTGACACATGCGAATGCGAATCTGAATATTATCACGGAAATCCAGGTTGAGAGAACAAAAAATTTTTATTCTCATTTTTTCGAAAATACCCGACCTGCCCATGACGCAAAATCGTAGTTCCACCACATGTTTCTCAGCTGTTTTTTGCTTTTACCCAATCAAATTTTGAAATTATTACCCACTCGAGTCCCCTAGCCTATAGCAAAGGCAAAACCGCTGTCGAACTTCCGTACAAGCAAAAGAGAAGGATTGTTGAAGTGTCAGCTCACGCTAGAATTTGTCGGGGTGGCTTCATAACCAACAAGTTCCTCAAGGATGCTACAGGATATGATTCTGGGAAGAACCCTGATTACTATCCGACCGAGATAAGCGCCGTATCGTGAGAAAATAATACGACTTTATCCAGACGGGTACGGAAATTAAAACTTCTTCAAAAGTTAGTGTCTATATGGAAGCAGTTTCACGTATTTTACGACACTGCTGGAAGATGAAAAATACGCTTTTAGTGAAAAGAAATCAGAGAAGAAAACGAGCCATTTTTCTCGAAAAGTTTTGCTAAAGAGGGAAGGTCATCAGGCCGGTCCGGCCATTTGCAATGAGCTGTATACCGTTGAAGTCCCCTCGAGGCGCTGAGCTCAGAACTTCCTTCCTTATCTGCTAAACGATTCTTT